TCAGTTTGCTACCACACAGCCACTAATGCTGGTCAGTTCCGAAGGACACTCAATTTCCAAAAACTCCACATCCGGATTGTCGACGCCCTCAAACCATCCGAACCGCCATTGACAGCCCGACTGAAGACTGGCTGGCAACTCCGAACATTCCTGCAAAACAGCCGGGTAAAGTTGCTGGCAACGCGCCGGAAGCTGGAAATTTACCTCCACTGAGCTGATGCCGCTGATTGGGTCTCCCCAGCCTCCCACGGGCGAGTCCCACTCGTTGGTGCAACCAGTGGCGTACAGCCCAGCCCCTCCCCCAGGCATGGCAACGTCGAAGTGGTTCTGCCCCAAGGGGCTGCCAGTGTTGGTGATCTGAACCAGCATGGATTTGCCTGCTAATTGTCCCTGCAGCTTCAGGAGCAAACAGTGACAACACTTGTTGTATTCGGAACCACCTGGAATTTTTGCATGTAGGGAACATTTGGAAGGGAAACTCTGTGGGGAAAAGTACCTCCGAAGGACGCAGCAACCCATCCGAAACTGAGCGTTTCGTTGTAGACCCATGGCTGCTGATCGCTGCACATGTAGGCAACATCTCCAGTATCGGTGCAGCCAGATTGGGTTTCAATATCGATGGTTGTTTGGCCATCAGCAGCGCAGGAGCGCACCGGGGACGTGGCGCCTGATTCGGACAAATTTTCCTGCCAAGAGCAGCCAGCCTTGCAACAGTCCCAGTAGCGGGTTGTTATGCCGGACCCGCTCACTCCATCGGGGATGGGGATTACATCTGTGCTGGCCTGGGCAAACACTGCAATCCAGCCAATTGGAAAGGCCCTTGGAAAGAAGTGATCCACTCACCAGCCAGTTGCGCCAAAAGAATCACTGCAAGACCTCTCATCGTTAACTCTGTGAGGACACAAACAGAATTGTGCACAACAATGTGATGATATATGTATGAGAGCTAAGCAGGCCAGTGATAAGAGCTGGAGTGGTTTGTTTTGAAAACATCCAGTTGGAAACAGACGTGCTTCAGATCCATGTATGATACCGTGAAAGGAGGCGATTTGTTTGCAAAAAGAGTCTGTTTTGAGCGGTAGGAAAACAGATTTGTTCAGGGTTGCCTTGGTTGCGGGCCAAAGATTAGTTAAAAATGGTTCAATTTTTTACAATTAGGTTCAAGTGTCTAGATAATCACGCTCAAGTGGCAGGCAATCATCCAAAAATAGCTTTCTGGAAAGTTTTGGAGAAACAGCAGGTATTTTTAGATTGGGTCTGGGACAAATGTAGGTATGGGATACCAAGCAGGTTTCAGTTGGGACACAAACTACAAAAAAATCATTGTTGAACTAATCTTCTTCAATTTTTCCCGTCAGTTTCTTAACCATTATTATAAATGAGGGGTCTTTCCCAGCTATTGGTCCCTGGACAATTTAGTTAAAATATCTAAATGCGTTTTTTAAATTAAATTTCAACACCCTGTACATCGGGGTATTTTTCGTACGTAGAACACGTGGTTATGTTAATGCTGCTTCCGCAGGAAACACCTTGTGTGCATCTCTACCCATCAGATCAACTGGGAATAATGAAGGATGATAGTTCTCCACGCCTTAACTGCCCTTTTAACCTAACTGGACAATCAATCGAAAAGAGGTCAGAGACCAAACAGGAAGGGAAGCACAAGAACTGAAAACTCCCAAGCCAATCACCAAAATCATTTATTTGGAAACTCCTGTTTCACATGCCCAATTAAGCCACACAGCCACTAATACTAGTCAGCTCTGTGGGACATTCCACTTCAGTGAAGACCACGTCAGGATTATTGACTCCCTCAAACCAGCCGAACCTCCACTGGCAGCCAGGCTGCAAGCTGGAGGGCAACTCGCTGCACTCCTAAAGAAAACCCTTAGTTTCCCCCGTTGCAAACTCCTTGGAGAGTTACCTCTAAAGAGCTGACGCCACTGATCGGGTCTCCCCAGCCCCCAACAGGAGCGTCCCATTCTCTGGTGCATCCAGTGGAGTACAGTCCAGCGCCTCCTCCAGGCATGGCGACGTCGAAATGGTTCTGTCCCAGATCGCTTCCAGTGTTGGTGATTTGGACTATCATCGATTTTCCAGCCAATTCGCCTTGCAGGTCGAGGAGCAAACAGTGGCAACAGTTGTCGTATTCGGAGCCACCTTAAGCATTGATCAGCATTGGTGTGCTTTGGAACCACCGGTACCTACCTGCAAAAGAAGCAGCCACCCATCCAAAGCTGAGGGTTTGGTTGTAGACCCAGGGCTGTTGATCGCTACACATGTAGGCGACTTCTCCAGTGTCGTCCCCACATCCAGACTGGGTTTCGATATCCACAGTGGTGGAGCCGTCGGCAGAACAAGAACGCACTGGATTAGTCGCTCCAGACGATCCCAAGTTTTCCCTCCAGGAGCATCCAGGCTTGCAACAGTCCCAGTAGCGGGTGGTCACTCCAGAACCACTCAGGCCATTTGGAACGGGGACTACGTTGGGATCAGCTTTGGCCAGCACTGAAATGTAGGGAAGATTTAGGGGGAATTCTGGATGGACTCAGGAAAACTCACCAGCCAAATAGGCGAGGAAAATAACAGCAAGAGATCTCATTGCGACTGATAGGGAGCGCGAATAAGAGTGACCAAGTGGAGGCTCATTAGGCTTACCTAAGTGGAGCCTGATAAGGCACAAGTGGTTTGTTGTTGAAATGTTTAGTTAAAAAGGGAGTCACTGCGTCACGTTGATTATGATTGTTCTACTTAAAAGTAACCTCTTAAGAAGTATTAAAACAAAGTTTTCTCAAACGATTTAGTAGTTAGTGATAAGTAAATCCTTGTTCCTGTCCAAGACTTGTAGGTAGGAGATTTTTCCTTCTACAGCTTCACTTTGTTTCATACCCAGTGTCGTATGGAGTGGTTGAAAAATGTTTTCTTTATCAAAACAGTTAAGACTTTGACGCCATTCCTTCCAACTGTTAAGGCGAATTCCTCCRGGCAAGCTACTCGTGCTTGCAAAACCTCTTGGAAGACATACTTTCCCCGACGACCCAAAAACCCACTAGTTTTTGTGCTTCAAAATGTCTTAARTGTTGTATCATTTTCGTGCAGAAGTTTCGGATCCGAAATAATAGACATTTTTGGCACATTTTCAGSGTTTCWTSAGCGTTCGCGATCTTCAGCMGACGATTCCTTCCGTATTATTGACCCAAACGCTTAATAAATGCATATTTTGAGATTGAGCTCAAAAMGACTCCTGGTTTTGTGGCGAAAGAGTGGGTTTTGATGCGATTGAGCTCAAGAAACGCTCATGTAAAATTTTCATTTTTGGTCGAAATTTTTCCAAGAGTTGGGGTCGATTTTTTGAAAAAATAAAAATTTTCTCAAAATGTCTTAAATTTTGCATCATTTTCAGCTCACGCACGCGAGGAATGCATTGGACTCATTGCAAAACATGCTA